TTCGGCAACTCTCTTCGCCTGAAGACTTGGGGGACTCCCACCATATGCTACTGCACCTTGATACTCGGCAGTCTCACAACCACTCAGTGACTTGGATTTTTCAAGTCTCCAACCGAGAAGTTTTCCTCACTCGGGAAATTAAGGGAACACTACCTCAAACTACATGCTTCACTCACAAAGCTTCAACAATACAGGTTTCAACAAAAGCAAAAATTCAAAGAACTTTATGAAGAAGGCTTTGGTGTATTTAACACAATATGTTGAAATGAAGCAAAGCTTATTTATTAATATTTTCGATAAGCCACAAATATGTACATATACATGAGTCAAAATAAACAAACAAAAGGGAGCCTTCACAAAGGTTGCTAAGGGGAAGTCTCAGCAGTCGGTAGAGCCCCAGAAAGAGAAAGCACCGGAGGGTGGTTATCCGGAGCCTCAGTACTTGACAAAACCCCAGAAGGAGGAGGCATTGGAGGTTCATCATTTGAAGCTTCATTACCAGGTACAACCCTAGAGGACGAAGGCAATAAATGCCTTTGGAACAAACCCACAAACCGCTGATGATCAAGTAAAACCTTACCATCAGATTCCTTCATCTGGTCAAGCTTCCTCTTCATGTTTGTAGCATAGTCATGGGCGAGCCGGTGCAACTGCTTATTCTCATGCTTGAGCCCTCTAATCTCCTGTTTGAGACTCATCACTTCAGCAGCCAATGATTCAACTTGGCGGGTTCTAGCAAATAGGCGTTGGGCCATATTAGACACAGAACCTGCACACTGAACACTAAGAGCCAGAGAGTCCTTAACAGCCAACTCATCAGACCGTTTGGAAAGTAGTCTATTATTTTTGGGAGTGAGAAGGTTCCTGGCCACCACTGCAGCGGTCATATCATTCTTCATCACAGAATCCCCAACGGTAAGAGGACCAGTAGGGGATATGAAGGATGGGCGCCATATGTTGTCTGGAGAAGGCGTGGCTGTCTCTTTTCCAAGGTTCAAGTCAAAACGACGGTCGGAGGGTCCAGACATTTTCAAATGTGTTGAAGAAGGAAGAGGTCAGACAAATCAAGATCTTAGAAGTGCAAGAAATGAGCTTCTACTGGTAGAGATTCAAGTGTGCTGTGGAACTTAATGCCAGCCTCTATAAAAATCTACACTCGACGGAGCTTTAGAAATCGAAGAGGCGTTTGCTTTCTCAAAAGCTGGGCTGCTCAGAGACCACGAGGGCCGATCTCAGAAATCGAAGAGGCGTTTGCTTTCTCAAAAGCTGGGCTGCTCAGAGACCACGAGGGCCGATCTCAGAAATCGAAGAAGCACCTGCTTTTTCAGCTTCGTCAGCACCTGTCACATGCACAATCAGCTTTGCGGAAATTACGGGCACTCTGTCGAAGATTTCTGGTGAAGTAGAAAGCACGTGAATCTTACTGTTCAATCACCGCTCTCCATATGCACCATCAACTCCTCGGGTACCACATATAACTTTGTCAAAGATCTCTGACAAAGTTTAGGCACGAGAATTTCGAAGTTCCAGCTACCCTATTATTACCCATAAGGGTAAAGGAACAGCACCACTGCTTGACAACTGGAAAGTCCCTATGTGTGTCGACCTCCGTGTTTTGCGGCAAGACAGGTTGGCAAGAACGTCCAACCTTTACTCACATTCGAGAAAAGACTCCCAACATAATTACTTTCTCAAAAACCGGAGTAGCACCGCTTTCCGAATCTCGAGAGTCAGATCCTCGACGGGATTGCTTGTTCGAAAACCGAAGAGGCACAACTCTCAGAACTTCGAGAGCCAGATTTCCTTTGATAAAGCTTGTCTGTAATCTTCACACGTAATATCAGCTTTCCAGATACCACATACCACTTTTTCAAAGTGCTCTGACAAAATTAAAACACGTGAAGCTAGGAGCTCCCACTGCATTGCTGTGACCAAGAAGGGTAAAGGAATAGCATTACTACTTGTTATTGGGAAATCCCTATATACATTGACCTCCCTCCTCAACGGACAGGCAAACCTGCAAAAATGCTCAACCCTTTCTCGCATTCGAAAAGGCACCCTCAACATAACCTCTCGAAATACTCAGCTTTATTTCCCCCCGATAATACCTCAGCAAATAAGCCACACCAAGAACAAGAGTATCTCATATCATCAGGGTCGAAAGCAAGAGTATCCCATATCATGCTTTCTCCCTGTCTTTGTCTTTGTCCTTGTCCACACCTGCAGGACAAGGAGAAAGAGAGCAGTCAGTCGGAACCTGAAATCAAACCTCCAATTTGGAACTGACTGCCTGGAGCCTTTGCCTGGTTGCTTACTTAGCATTGCTCTCGAGTACTCATCCTCAACTGCTGTCAAGGTCACGAATTCCACCGGCAAATACCTCATGACAGTTGATCAGATATTGGCTCTTTACACTGAAGCTGCCAAGCGTGGATGAGTCACTATGAAGGAATGTTCTGAAGGACCATTTAAATGCAAAGGTTGCACACCACTTCTGCCATGCAAAAGATTGAAGCAGAAGGTTCAACGGTGAGCTGAAACAGATCACTACAGCACGACACCTTTCCATACCACATTCATTATTCCGTCAACAGCAAAAGTATCCCATATCATCAAGGTCGAACGTACTCTAGATTTGATGGACTTGTTTTGACCCTCAAATTTTTGAGTCGGCCTTATACTCTGAAGGGCACCAGAAAACCCTCCAGCACAGTTCAAGAATAAGCCTGTGGAAAGTTACTTCTTCAAAAGCAAAAGTATCTCATATCATCTCTTATCCATTTGCTTCTCCTTATCCTGGCAGTTGAATGAGAGACAAGGAGAATGAGAACAATCAACCGGAAGCCGAAGTCAAACCTCTGATCCTGGGTTGCTTACTTGGAAGTTTGACTGCTTACCTTGTCTGTCACCTCTTTCGGCAGATCTCCTAGCTCGGCGACTTGGGGGACTCCTACTATAGGGTTTGTATCACACTTGACTAAGCCCGAAACTACAACTAAGCTTCAAGTGAAATTGTAAATGACACAAGAGTTATCGTGGTTCACCCCAAGGTTTGGGCTACGTCCACACTGATAGTTGATTCTGTTTCTCTGTAAGTGTATGGATACAAGTGTTTGGGGGAAGTCCCCGGAGAAAGAAGAGAAGGGAGAGGAGAGCCTCGGTGGTGTGAGGTCTCTCCTGAATGTAATGATAGCTTCTCTTAGCCTTCTTAGGCTTGGCTCTTTTGCCTCCCCTAGAATGAGGGTAGGAGTCCCCTTTTATAGAATAAGGGGCTCCTCTTCCTTTACAAAGTATGGGCTTTAGTGTGAGGCCTAAATACAAGGCCCAAAGCCCAAATATACGAGGCCCTAAATATGGTATAAACAGTAGTCCCCCAAGTCTTCAGTCAAGAGAGTCTTTTGGCTGGAGACTTGAAATTCAGTCCATGTGTGGGCCGAAGTAACTAAATGTTGTCTTGAACTGATGCTCGATATGAGGCAGTGCTCAATCTGAAATGACGCTCAACTAGAAGTAGCACACGCTGCGAGACTGCTCGGCTCGTGGCTTATGTTGCCTTGGCTAGCTCGGTTTGCGGCGTTGAAGGTGAGGGAGTCCCTTTTATAGAATAAGGGCTCGTTCCTCAATACATAAATGATGGGCTAGAGTTGATGCTCGCGGCGAGGCGGTTGCTCAGCTGGCGGCGTTTCTCTCTAATGAAGGTGAGGGAGTCCCTTTTATAGAATAAGGGCTCACTCCTCAATACATAAGTGATGGGCTAGAGTCCCCCAAGTATTTTTTATGAGGCCCAGTTGAGGCCCAATATATGGTACATAATGTAGTCCCCCAAGTCTTTAGTCAATAGAGTCTGTTGGCTGGAGACTTCAATTTGAATCCATGTATGGGCCGAAGTGGCGGTTGTTCAAAGGCGGTATTTGTATACCCTGCACTGAAGCTTTGTAGGTGAAGCTTTGCAGGTGAGACTTTGAAGCTAGAGCTCTGTAAATGAAGCTTTCAAGCTGGAGCTTTTATAAATGAAGTTTTTGAAGCTAGAGCTCTGTAAATGAAGCTTTTGAAGTTGATTGACATGAGTGATGCTCATGAATGTTGTCATGAGTGATGCTCGTGAATGTTAACATGAGTGATGCTCATGAATGTTGACATGAATGATGGTCATGAGTGTTTATGTATGATTGTCATGAGTGATGCTCATGAATGTTTATGTATGAATGACATGAGTAATGCTCATGTATAATTTGGAATACTGGGCGTACTTTTGATCGCCTGGTTGGAGCGATTTTGGGCTTATGGGCCTTCGCCCTCCACAACATTCCAGTCCAACCCATTTATTTTGGGCTTGTCGTTGTTCTTTTTTTTTTTTTTTTTTTTTTTTTTTTTTTTTTTTTTTTTTTTTTACCCTTTGATGGGGTTTATACATATTACCCTCGGATGGGGTTTATACATATGTCTCCGAAAGATAATAAATTACATCATTCTGGTAGAATGTTTATTCCTTACTTTTGTTTTTCTCTTTCTTTTCTACTGTTCTTTTGTAATTATCTCAGTGGGTAGCCATATTTTCTGCTTTGCTCTTTTCCACCGCAAATCTCATGTTGAAAGGGTAGCCATGCTTTCTGCTTTGCTCTTTTACTTTGCTTTGCTTTTGCTTTCCACTTTCTTTTTTTTTTTTTTTTTTTTTTTTTTTTTTTTGACCCTCTGATGGGATTTATACATATTAAACCTCTGATGGGGTTTATACATATGTCTCCGAAAGATAAATTACATCATTCAGAAATAACAAAAGTAAATCACATTATTTTGATGGGATGTTTATTCCTCACTTTTACTTTCTTTTTGCTTTCTCTTTTCTGCTTTCTCTTTTCTCTAAAATGACAGCTGCTTTGGACAGCCTTTCCGACATCGCCCATTTGCTTTTCTCTTGCTTTTAAAAAATAGGAACATGCATCCGTCGACAAAAGCAAAAGTATAATCTTTCTCATTTAGCTTTTGCTTTTACTTTGCAGAGTGCAGATGGCACTAGTTCTCTATTTCCTCCAATTGCAGCTGCGCACTCCTATCTGATTTCCGGTCACGCCCCATGGTAGCCTAGGCTTGTAATGCCCAATCAGCGAGAACCCCTGCTCCCTCACCGCCGTGGATCCGCAGTCCCTGAACGAGATCGAGTCGCACGAAAACAATTGCATCAGGACCGTTGACGCCTTCATCTTCCCAGTTGGACAGATCTTAGCCGTCTGGTTCACTGCCTCCTCCTTGTTCGCCCCGTTCACGCAGAGCACCAACCGCCCATCTGTCTTCATCAACGACTCGAACGTTTCGGGGCTCGACTCTGACTCTGAATTTGAATTACCTTGCGCTGACTTTGACCTTGACCTTTTTCCTCGTGCTCGTCTCGAACAACACGACGTCAGTGCTGTTTTTCGTCGGTCTGAGTCGACGCGTCGGCGGTCGCTTTCCTGGCGGACTCACCGACTGACTCGGTCTTGTACACCTTGTACTCGTTCAAATCGATCGAACTCCATAACTAGTTTCACTGGCATGAAATCACTGGAGATTCGAAATCTTCGGTGGACTTCAGCGCCTCTGGCGGCGGTCTCAGAAGCCTCGACGACGCCGTCTCGAGAGCCAGATGGTTCAGCGGTAGGTCAAGAAACACAACGGACGATGAGTGACAGAGGGAAGATGGATCTTCGCTGGTTGGATCTGACGGTGACGATCACTTATGGATCTGACGAGCAGCAGCAGCTGGAGATGAGGTTTCAACGAGGAATTCAAGGCCTCCGGCAATTATGTTATCGGAGAGGATAAGCTTCTGGAGATTTTGAAGCCTCGGGAACTGCTCCAGGGATGAAACATCGACGTTTGAGATCGAGAGGTGCTGAAGGTTCTGGAACTTTTCTAGAAAGCTCAGAGCGAGGAGGGAGGAAGAGAAAGATGTGTTGAGGAGCAGCAGCAGTTGGGGCTGCAGCTTCGGCAACACCTGGGGCAGCGATGGAAACTGCATCGCCAGAGCCAGCATTCAGGACAAGATCCTCGATGTTTCTCTTCCCATAAAGCTTGGCGAAAAGGCCAGGCCAGTAAGACTCGACATGGACATTGGCAGCTTTCACCAAGGTTGCAATTTTCTCGACAATGACGGGGATGCCTTCGTCTTGGAGGAAGGAAGCTTATGGAGACACTGCGCTGTAATCGCGGGGAAGTTGTCGGTGAACTGGGTGTACTCCGACAAGATCATCGTACCTCGAGCCACGAAGCTGTAGATGAACGATTCCTGAGTCATTGTCGAGTTGGCGAGTGAGTTCGCTCGGAGGTGTGGAAGCAGCGGTAGCAGACAAAATTGAAAGCTCTGGTTGGTCTTTGTTTCTTTGTTATCATGGCGATTTTTCACATTTATTGAGCTGATTTGTTTCTTTCTTTGTTTTTGGTTTCCGTGTGTGACTGGCTGACAAAGGAGAGAGAGGTGGTTGGAGGTCTGCGACATTTTTTTTGTTTGAAAAAGCTCAAAGAGTGAGGTTTTTGGGTTCTGCAAATTTTGCAGATTCACAGTGGAGGTTGTGAAGTTTTCACGATGGTGAGATGAAAAAATGAAAGAGAACCGACATAGCTTTTTGTGTCGTTTCCCACAGACGGCGCCAAATGTTGATGCACAAAACCGGAGTGGTCTTGGAACAACGTAAATCTGACTGTGGATCTGCATAAAATGTAAATGACACAAGAGTTATCGTGGTTCACCCCAAGGTTTGGGCTACGTCCACACTGATAGTTGATTCTGTTTCTCTGTAAGTGTATGGATACAAGTGTTTGGGGGAAGTCCCCGGAGAAAGAAGAGAAGGGAGAGGAGAGCCTCGGTGGTGTGAGGTCTCTCCTGAATGTAATGATAGCTTCTCTTAGCCTTCTTAGGCTTGGCTCTTTTGCCTCCCCTAGAATGAGGGTAGGAGTCCCCTTTTATAGAATAAGGGGCTCCTCCTCCTTTACAAAGTATGGGCTTTAGTGTGAGGCCTAAATACAAGGCCCAAGGCCCAAATATACGAGGCCCTAAATATGGTATAAACACTTTGAAAAATATAATTTAGTCAACTTACAGCTTATCTAATTTGCTACTTGGTTATGTTGTTGTTTCCTTGTGTTTTTGCGCCACTAGGTTTGGTGAAATTCGTACAAGCTATTTAGCTAGGAAATTTCTGCTTCATTAATGTGCTGACACAATATCAAACTGGATTTGTTATGGCCTCCGAAATAACAGAAAAAAAAATGGCAGTAGAGTGTTCGCACAAGTTCATACACGCAAAACTACGTGGAAACATACTGTTGATATCTTATCTTGTGATCAAATTTGTATTAATCATATCTTGTCTTGTGATCAGTTTTGTAGTTAAAAACTTGTCGTAATGATATTTTATCTTGTGATCAAATATGAAGTAAAGGGAGTGCTATTTGCGCAACAATGAACTTTAATGGTGACCTGTAGCTCGAATTGCACTCCCCTTACAATATGCATATGATTAAAATCAACATCATAAGTTGTTCATGGAATAAAATACGTATAAAACTCTACATTTGCATTGCAGGTCATTTTTAACCAATGAAATACTCAACGAGGACAGGTCTCCTTCTGAGTATAATTGTGTTACAGTATTGGATGAGCTTCGTATGATTTTGGTTTCGGATAGGAATTTTTGTACTGGTTGAAGTTCTATTTAGTTGTAAGAATTTGATAGCAGTCATTTGAGTGAGAGAAATTATTTATATGTTTCTGATTATTCATTCTGTTAAGAAAAATTTGGTCGTGCAACTATGTGGTAAAGTTCACCTCGTACTGCAGTTTTCGCTTTGCACTATATATTTAAACAGATCCATGAAAATGATCGAAACATATGCATCTTCTACCGGATTCATTTTGTCTAGAGTGTCCAAATCTGCTATATATCTGACATAGGTTTGCTGCAATGCTAAAACTACGGCGAATGCATCTATCGACTATCATTGTCACTTGCGTGAATAGAGATACCAATTAGTAGTGCTTCACTGTGACTTGTGCGTGTAGAACTGAACAGGTTAATGGATGGCCTTGTTGGATTTAAATCTCTCTTTCCCATCCCTTGACTGCATCCTTACTTTAAATAATGGAGCTTGAATGCACAATGTTCTTAGGGGGTGGTACTGCATTCTGTTTACAAGGATGGCACTCGAGGCTCGTTGGGCCGAAAGAGCCCAATTTAAACCCTCATTGAAGTACTAACTTTGATCTAGGTTGAACATCAATACAAACCAAAAACTTTAGGCCAAAGATTAAACAATTTAGGGCATCTTGTACCTCATAACTGCATGTTTTAGGGGATATATGATTTTGGACTGTCCTTATGAAGTCATTCACCGTAGATTTTCTGCTTATGTATGTTTATCTTTAACATTCTAATAGCTATCTAAAAAGAATCTTTTTCTTTTGTAAATTAATTTATTTGTAAACTTTTTTGTTGATAAAGGCTTTACCTTTATATAAGCAAATAGTTTCCTGAAAGCATCTTTTTCATTTATAAAGTAAATTAGCTACGTAGACGTTTGGCATAAGTAGGATTTTAAACTTTAATATATGCAGGATAGTTATCTTCAAACAATTATTTTGTTTTTTTAAATTAACTTAGCTATGTATTACTCTTAGAAACTTGTTTGGTTTTGTTGATGTTTGGCATTAAAAATGTATGAAGAACTTCTTTGATCTTACATGCTTCACTAAAATATACATATACACGTTTTCTGATCTGCTAGTTGGCGTTGTGGTTTTTTCGTTGCGTTTTTGCACCACTAGGTTTGGTGGGAAAAAAATGGCAGTAGAGTGTTCAGACAAGTTCATACACGCAAAACTATATGGAAACATACTGTTGATATCATGTATTGTCTTGTGATCAATTTTGTAGTAATGATATCTCTTGTGATCAAGACTTTTCATAATGATATCTTATCTTGTGATCAAATACGTAGTGAAGGGAATGCTATTTGCGCAACGGATGAACATCACTAGAGCTTTGACGGTGACCCGTAGCGCGAATTGCGCTCCCCTTACAGTACACGTAAGACTAATTTCAACATCATAATTTTTGCATGGAATATTATACATATAAAACCCTACATTTTGCCTTGCAGGTCATTTTAAAACCGATGAAATGCTCAATGAGGACAGGTCTGCACACCCCATTACCATCACGAGATGTCGCTGTCGTCGTCGTTCTAACCGAAGCACACAGTTCAGCCGCGGCAAGGATCTAAGTTAAAAAAGGAAAGCATTGAGGCACTGGAAATTGCAAGGAAGTTGCAAGGACGGCCTTTGTGGGCTCCTCGCTTTAAATTAAGAACAACTTGGTTTTTGTCAATCTCGTAATGTATGAATTTGGCCATTTTGTTTGACTGGTTTGTTGGCATTAGTCATGAAAGGCTCTTCCGAACCACCAGGAAATTGCTTTTGGCTTGCGATTTGTCCAAGTGGTGTATTTTGTAAACTAGTACAAGGAAATTTTTTTGGACCGACTTCTTATATTTTTGGCTTTTGAATTGAACTAAATAAAATGAGAATTATGGGATATATATATATATATATATATGTAAACATGAGTGTCTAGAAGAGAGAAAATGAATGTTTGGAAATCATCTGTGTAATTATTGTCTTTCTGTTGTTATGCCTTTAGTTTTAGGGTTTGTTTGGGACTGCAACGGTAGGAAGCACTTTTGCTCATGAGTTAACCGCTTCTACTACAAACATGTACAAGTGTGTTAAAAAAATTTAAATGCATTCTAAAAAATTCTGGAAGTGCTTTCTTAAGAAGCATAAGAATGGTCATTTAGTACTACGGTCTGGTGGTATTCTTCTTTACTTATAAGTGAAGGGTCTTATGTTTGATTCTCGCCAAATGCGAGTTTGAATCACATTATTGCTAGCTAATTTTGAGGCTAAGCCCACCTCCTCCTCTTTAGTATAGATAATATTGTTTATTCAAGAAAAAAAAAAAAGGGAAGCATATGAATGCGTTTTTTTTTAAAGAAAGCATTTTTATGACCCAAAATCACTTCTAGATTTATCTCTTAAACGCAGTTAGAAATGCTTTTGATGTCAAAAAATACTTTTAACCCTTATATTGGCACGATAGAAAAGTTATTATATATGCTTTTGATGTCAGAAAACACTTTTAACCATTCTATTAACACGATAGAAAAGTTATTATATACCTTTTCAAAGGACATTTTCTCTTTAATATGGCACGATAGAAAAGTTACCATATACTTTTTCAAACGGTATTTTCTCTTTAATTTTTTAGATGCTTCGAAGTTGTATATTTTCTTTTGAAAGGTCAATAACAATTTTTTAAAAGTGAAAAACGCCGCAAATAACGTTGTTTCGGTGCTACCACATAACCTGTCGGACGTCCGAGCTAATCGTAATCTGCTGCCTTAGCAATATGACTTGAGAAGAAGATTCTACTACTAGAACCAACATAAAAAATTGTAACAAAAACATAAAATAATGACTGCAGTTTGTGATACTAAAAGAGTAAATTGTAGCAATAGTTCATCAACTTTAACTGGAGTAATGGTCCCTCAACTAAAAATTCATTACTATTGGTTCCTTAACTCATCAAAACATGTAACTATAGTCATTTTCGTTAACTCCGTCAGTATTATATCAAAATGAGTTATGTTGGAATAACCATTGCTACAATTGGGTTAAAGTTAAGGGATCATTGCTCTAATTTGGTTAAAGTTGAGTAATTGTTTCTCTAGTTGGATTAAAGTTAAGAGACCATTAATACAATTTTTCTTATTTGATTTTTCATATTTGCCCATTGATTCACCCTCACATGCATGGTACGTAACTTATTTTGACGAAAGTTCTAATAGAGTTGACGAAATGAACCATAGCTGCACGTTTTGATAAGTTGAGGGACCAATGGTAATTGATTTTTAGTTAAGGGACCATTCCTCCAATTGGATTAAAGTTGATGGACTAGTGCCACAATTTCCTCATATCGAAATGTGTGATAAATTAATTCTTTTATTCCAACAAAAAAAAAAAAAACTAATTCGTATATTTTATTGGGTGGTTGTATTTTATGCATATTACAAAACAGAAAAAAAAAATTAAATAAATAAATGTTATTTAGTATTACGATCTAGTGATATTCTTCTTTACTTGTAGGTCTTAGATTCGATTCTAACCAAAAACGAATTTGAACCACATCATTATGGCTAATCCAGTGTGAGGCATAACCTACTTTCCCATACCTGAGTATAGATAATACTGTTTATTAAAAAAAAAAAAAAGTATGGGTGAATCAAGTCCTGCTTGGCGGCAATTCTTTTCAAAAACCGTTGAACAGGCAAGGACGAAAATAAACTGACAGATGTTGGTTACAACGGCTCCTCTAATTTGTCATTAGCTTAAACACTTGATATTTAATGTTGAACTTCAACCTTTCCCTCTGACCTTTTGGTGTCATAATTTCAAATATTTGAACAAAAGGTTGGCTACTACATAAAATAAATCGGCAATGTTTGCTTTTGATTTTTGTTGATCAAACTTCAATGCCTACTTGTGGGTCTCTCGGGTAGAGGCTTCAAAGTTTGAGTATTATGTAAAGAGTAATGTTAAAGAGATTAAAGTTTGAAAACTAAATGATATAGAAATTGATGATTGATTTAATACTTAAGCGTTGATAAACGTGCTTATTTTTATTAGTGATACATCATTTAGTTTGTAAATTTTGTCTCCAAATTTAGTCTCTCTAACATTACACATCCAACAAATTCGAACGTACCATTAGACTATGAAGTCCTGCTCTCCTAAAGTCTTCATTTTGATGACCTATGAGAACCAAATGCATATTAATCGCAACATTATATTAGTTTATAACTAGATAAATGTTATTAGCACTTCAAAATTTTCATTCTACACTCTTCATAAGTGTCTTTTTCTTTTCTAATATAGAAAGTTTAGAGTGTAAAATGTGATTTTTGGAGTGCTAATAACAATTCTCTATATCTAAATGCTTAAAATATGCGACAATTTCAGAGAAATTTTATTCAAACTCATTTATCTTTATTCTACACCTAACTTATCATTTTTTATCTTGAAGTTTCGAGTGTGTCCAACAATTCTCTTTCAACTCTAAAATGAAAAAGAACAAAAAATAAAATTCTAGCACCATAAATCTCCGGCCACCCCCATCTCTCCAATTTCCAAACCCCAACCACCACCAATTTCTACTCTTCCCCAATCGCCACTGCCACCTTCTCTATCACCCACAATGAAAACCCCTAAGGTCTCATCCATCACTAACCCTCTCCCGATCTTTCCCTAGCTACACAAACTTCCACGCAGTAACTATCAACCAATTGAATCTAACTATGTTGGACTTGAGTGTACGTAATATGTGGAGAATCACAATTTTAGTAATATCATAATTTTTTTTTCAAAAGAAACATTGTCATGAATGTCTTTTGGGTCTTTTAATGCTGGGTTGTTAGGGGGTAAGGTTCTCCAAATTTTCAAATTGTTGTGGGTGGTAGGGAAGATGGTGGTGGGGGGGTTCGGGATGGGTAGAGATTGGGGTGGTTGGGGGTTGGACAAATGTGGTGGCCAGAGTTGCCTATTGTTGAATTCTTTTATTTTATTTTATTATATATATATATATTTTTTTTTTATTTTATTGTTATTGTTGGGTGTATAAAGAGAATTATTGGGCACATTCGAAATTTCAAGATAAAAAATGATAAGTTTGGTGAAGAAAGAGAATAATGAATTATTTTGATATGTTAAGTTGTCAAACATTTTAAACATTTGGATCAAAACTAATATAATTTTGAAGTTAATATGCATTTAGTCCTTACAGGTTAAAATGAAGACCTTAAAAAGCCAGGACTGTTAGGCTATGACATGCGCCACTTAATACTACCATCTTAAAAAATAGAGTGACAAATATAAATCAATATTTTAACAAAAAGTTAGGTAGGACAAAAATTACGATGCAAATTTTGGCAATGTTTTCTTTCAATTTATGTTGAACAGAGTCCAAGACATGCGCCACTTAGTACTACAATTCAATGATATTCTTCTTTACTTGTAAATAAGAGATCTTAGGTTCGATTCTCGCCAAAGTCGAATTTGAACCACATTATTACTAGTTCATTGTAAAATTTAGCCTACCTTTTTTTCTTTAGTATAAATAATATCATTTGTTCAAGACATGCACACTTGTAGATCCTTTGGCTAATAGGATGCTCAAACTTAGAGGAGGCTGCAAATTTGAGCATCCGACAAACCCGTACATTTCCCATTTTATGGGCCAAGTAATTAATAAAGTTGTGAGAAAAAAAACCCTATATTGAGGACTTTTTAAATATTCACAAAAATATTATATAAAAAAAACATCAATGCTTTTTGCCTTGCCTTGCCTTGCCTAAGATGTCGCATTGGCGCTGAGCAGTTGATTACCGTTCGATTAATTTATAGTCGTTTGAAAATTAAAAAATGACGCTTAAACCTGCTGAGGTTGCAACTAGATAACTTTTAGTTTTTTAATTTTATTTTTTACAATAAATTGTAAAAGACTTGTTAAATATTTGGATGAACACTTATTATATGCTTGTTCCCTATGTTTTGAATATATTTTAATATTTTATAATCTATATGTTGTTCTATTTTACAATTTATGTATCCCAATACAAAATATACATTTTTACTAAGTATGAGTAGACATTTATTTATATATTATATAATAAATCTAATTAAAACTAGCATACGTCTATACACTTTGTGTGTTTGAATACTTTTAACTTTTGTTTTAAAATTGGAGTAAGAGAGGGAAAGAGAGAACGTGGATGAGAGTGAGAGGTTTTAGTTTTAGTTTTTTTTATTTTTTAATATTAAATATATCTTAACATCATCTATAGATGAGGTTTCAATAAAAAACAGTAAATTTGGATATGTGAAATTACATTATTGCCATCATTTTTTTGGTGTGATAGAAGGCTAAATAGTTTTTTCACCCTCTTTTCGTTAACAAAGAGAGCTCTATTGATCGGTAATTTAGATTAAAAAAACCATCTAGCTTCTCCTAGACACATAGGCGCTAAATCACTTCTTGCCGCCCAACTAGCGCCTTTTAGAACCTTGAATATCAGCTTGTTTGTCTCAATTTGATTGTATTCATAACAATTCACAATCTAAACGGTTCTCGTGTGAAAAATATTAGGGTTTATATACTCCAACAAGCTTTCCAGTTGTTTCATTCTCTATTATTATTTGACAGATTTCTTTGAAAAAATCTTAGGCATTTCGTTTACATCGAGCTAGAAAACTTTGGTCGATAACTTTTAGTGTAGACCCTAAGTCATTGTTTAATAATTGTTTTTTCTTCAATTTCCCCCAAGACCAACCTAGCAGTTCTGTAATTTAAGTAGAATTGAGTGCTTTCCATCTCACAGGGCAATTACAAAAGAAAAATACCGACTCTAATGAGCATTCTTTTTTACAGGTCAATTATAGTTTAACATGTACGTACAAACTTGTTTTTTCAAATGAATCGCTTTAGTATGTGTCAGTTTGTGAAGGCAAGAAGGAATGACTTTGTAATGGCGGTCTAATCAGGTTATTCGTAATGAGACCTCTATTAGAAAAATATGAGATTTTATGTATTTTATGACTCATTTGAAATTGCTTTTAAGATGACTGAAAACGCTTTTGGTGATATTTTTTTGGGTTCCAAAAGCAATTAAAAGTGATTCATGCAAAAAGTTACAGTTATGTGTTTCTTGCAGGAAAGTATAAGAACCCTGTATTTTGGTCACAATCAACCTCATAATGTTTCCACTCAGTGTAAAAACTTCTCAGGTTAAGTTACTCTACCAAAAGTTCCTGTAAGAAACCAAGTGGTGTTCACTTTGCCTTTTATTGTGCAGCAAAAATTTTGTTATCGACCAAATAGACGTGTGATTGCTGCTTATTGTGCGTACATGGACATATGCTTCCATCATATTCTATAAAAACAACTCACCATGCACCTTAGAATAAACTCTTTTCCTATCTACTAGCTAGGTTTTCCTCCTCCTCCTCCTCCTCCTCACTAACTACTAATCTCTTTCACTCTAAACTCTTAAGGCCTAAAAAAAACATGGCAAGCAGCAGTGACTCGGCCTACCACTGCGGCAAATCGCTCCTCGACGAACTTGACACCGGCCTCCGAGCTAAGAGAAGGTGGCGGATGGCCTTTTTGGCATTACGTGTTGTCCACGTCATGCTTGAGCTTCCCAAGATAGTATCCAGGACAAAAAAATATGGAGACGATGAAACTGGTCGCTACAGTTTTGTGGTCGACTTTGATGATCATGAAGATGCTGGACTTGCAGAAATTGTGAGGGAAAAGAACTCGGCTGCTACACAAAGGTACTACTTTCAATTTTCAATTTTTAATTTGTATCCTTAAAAATTTTGCAACATATATCAAACATTAAAATTAATATTTTCACAAGAAGAGCGATAAGTAAAACTAAGCTGAATTTTCAACACGCTTTTCCCTATTAACCTAAATATTAAACTTATTGAGTTGGTGGTTTATCATTGTCCGTAACATGTTTACTTATTTGGAACAAAAAAAGGAAAGAGGATTGTGTTTTCATTTCAAATATTTCACTTTCAATTCAAGTCAATTCACTATGTAATCGCACTAATAAGGGAATCAAGTCATGTGGGCCTAATAAAAACTCAATAATCCTACTTCAGGATTTTGCAAGAATGAGACTTTTGTGGAAAGGCTTGCGAGTGTATAGGAAACCACACATTCTAAATTATCTTTCACTTGTTTGTAAGGTGATGATATCCACACACATTTTTACTTTTTGTACATCTCTTATTAATTTTTGTTCTTTGATATTCTTTAATTTATCTGAACCGACAGCTGATAATTGAGAAGAACGTGCGAGTGTGAGAGATAAAAAGTGGCGTGTGAATAGCATCATCATTTTTATATTGGACTTGGATTCTCTGCCCTCCCAATTCGGTGCCCTCCCCGTGCCCTCCTGTTTGTGTGGTCACGGTTAAATCACGTCAATATTTTATATTACTATTTTTTTTTTGTCTTATTATTTTTATAAAAAACAATATAAAATGTTAGCATGGATTAACCGTGACCACACAAAACAGGAGGGCACGGGGAGGGCACCGAAATGGAAGGGCAGAGAATCCAAGTCCTTTTATATTACCGTTGGTTTGAAATATGTACTCACATGTAGAAATTGACAATTTCAACTCTTAGAACCATTAGTGTACCATCATACTTTTAATAAAGAAGGGAGATAGTGGTACAACCATTATTGTTTAGTTTTCCTTCCATGGACCACCACAAGAGGGGAAATTTCCAACCCTTTTCATGCCATTACACGTAGTACAAGAAACCTTTTGATTTAGGGTGATTGACCACACAATTGAATGATAGACCTTAGAAAAAGGGACCCGGCATCTCTACCCTTCCACTTTTCATACACTTTTATCCTCTTTTATTTTTATAATCACGGTTAAATCACGTCAACATTTTATATTACTATTACTTTTTATCTTATTATCTCTATAAAAAATCAATATAAAATATTGACGTGACTTAATCGTGACCGCACAAAATAAAAGGAATGAGAGTGTATGAAAAGTGAGAGGACAGAGAAGTCGGGTCGTAGAAAAAGACCCACCAAGCAAAAGTTTGGAGGGAGTAGTTTTCCATTTCACAAGAGAAATAAATACAATGCGAGAACAACGTTATTCATGTACGCATCGGGTTCTATACTTGTATTGTGTTCAGATCGTGTCATTGGTGTCGTGTCACATATTGCAACATTTTACATGATTGATTGAATTTGGCTATAATAAAAACAAAGTAAGATTTTCTCCCATTTCCTCCAGACAAGGATTGTCTGCCCTCTTAATCGTGACCACACAAAACAGGAGGGCACGGTAGGGCAGACAATCCTTGTCAATTTCCTCCCTCATCTCACACTTTCTTTTTTGTCTTTCTCTCTATAAAGAAATTACAAAATGTTTGAAGAAAGTTAAGGTTCCACTATAAAACCAATTGACAATATGAGGAGTAGTCCAACTTCTTATAAGCATATGCAATATCTCTCATCCCATCAATGTAGGACTCATTCTGAACAATGTTGACATTGTGTAATCATAACCATTCAAGTAGGAAAGGAGGAAAGGGAAGAGAGATAAAAAAAGGGAGAGAATTATACTCCTAGAAACACTGCAACATACACATAAGAATGAAGTTTTTAATTTGTTGAACTAGGCTTACTTCTTGACTTTATTTACTTAACCGTGAACTCTTCAAAGTTCTAACTACTGACAAACTATGTTAAGCAGCCACGATTCGCCTTATGGTTATGAAAAAATGCTCCTCGACATCACCACCACCACCCTCACCAGAGCCAAGATGAGATGGCGCATGGCCTACGCAGCAATATATGCTGTTCGGGCAATGCTTTCGCTTCCCAGAGAGCTTCTAAACAAGAGAAACAACTACAAAAAGGACCCCGAGATCTTGCACTCTTATTCTTACCCTGCACTGGACGTGAAACCAAGCACTGCCCACCAAGATATCAATACTGAAACTGATCGCCGTAGTTCCCTCCCCAACATTGAATTTGATCATGCAGGACTCGTACAAATGGTGAAGGATAAAGACTTGGCTGCTCTAAATGAGTCTGGAGGAGTTATCGGCGTGGCCACTTCTCTTGGGACAAACCCTAAAAATGGAATTCATGGAAATGAGTTAGAAGTCAACAGAAGGCGTGAAATCTTTGGTTCAAACACCTACCACAGGCAGCCTCCAAAAGGGTTGCTCTACTTTGTCCTCGACGCTTTAAAAGACACAACAATTCTGATCCTATGTGTCTGTGCGGCACTTTCTCTCGGATTTGGAATCAAAGAGCATGGAGCGGATGAAGGCTGGTACGAGGGAGGGAGCATCTTTGTTGCTGTATTCATTGTCATTGTTGTCTCAGCTCTCAGTAACTTCAGACAAGAATTACAGTTCAACAAGTTGTCTAAAATCAGTAGCAACATCAAAGTTGAGGTATTTAGAGACAGACAAAGACAAGAAATCTCCATCTTTGATATTGTAGTTGGAGATGTTGTGGTTCTGAACATGGGAGATCAAATACCTGCAGACGGATTGTTCTTAGATGGGTATTCCTTACAAGTGGACGAGTCAAGCATGACGGGAGAGAGTGACCATGTTGAAGTTGATTCCACCGAGAACCCCTTCCTGTTCTCCGGTACAAAGGTGGTAGATGGCCATGCTCGAATGCTCGTCACATCAGTTGGGATGAACACCGCATGGGGAGAAATGATGAGCTCAATATCGCAGGACTCAAATGAAAGAACACCATTACAAGCAAGGCTTGACAAACTAACCTCTTCTATTGGAAAGGTGGGCCTTGCAGTTGCCTTACTAGTTCTTGTGGTCTTGTTGATTCGTTACTTCACTGGTAACACAAAAGATGAGTATGGACATACGGAGTATAGTGGTAGCAACAAAGACATAGATAGTGTGTTGAGCGGAGTAGTTCGCATTGTTTCCGCTGCAGTCACTATTGTGGTTGTGGCAATCCCGGAAGGTCTGCCCTTGGCCGTCACATTAACACTTGCTTACTCAATGAAAAGAATGATGAAAGATCAGGCTATGGTCAGAAAACTACAAGCTTGTGAGACGATGGGATCAGCAACCGTTATTTGTACTGACAAAACAGGAACTTTGACAAAAAATGAAATGGAAGTGACTAAATTTTGTCTTGGCCAAGAAGAAATTGAAAAAGATAATTCAATCACACCAAATGTTTGTGAATTATTTCATCAAGGAGTTGGCTTGAACACGACCGGAAGTGTTTACATACCTCTTTTAGGATCAAAACCTGAAATTTCTGGTAGTCCAACAGAGAAAGCAATTCTCTATTGGGCCGTTTCGGATTTGGGTATGGACATGGAAAAGTTGAAGCCTAGATATGACATTCTTCATGTTGAAACGTTCAACTCAGATAAGAAACGAAGTGGGGTTCTTATACAAAAGAAGGATGACAACACCATCCATGTGCACTGGAAAGGAGCTGCTGAGATGATAGTTGCAATGTGCTCGAGTTATTATGAAACCAACGGAACTATAAAGTCCCTGAATGAAGAAGGGAGGTCAAAAATTGAGAATATAATCCAAGCCATGGCAGCTAAAAGCCTCCGGTGCATTGCTTTTGCTCATACTCAAATTTTAGAAAAAGAAATTGAATATAGCGACGATAACAAGACCCACCCAAAGCTGAAAGAAGATGGATTATTTTTGCTAGGGGTAGTTGGTCTCAAAGATCCATGCCGGGCAGGAGTCACCGATGCTGTGAGAATTTGCATGTCTGCAGGCGTGCAAATCAAAATGATTACTGGAGACAATGTTTTCACAGCTAAAGCTATAGCTACAGAATGTGGAATACTAAAGACTGAGGACGCAACAAATGGTGATCAAGTGATAGAAGGAGCAGAATTCCGAAACTACACACACGAAGAGAGAATGAAAAAGGTCAATCAAATTCGCGTGATGGCAAGATCTTCCCCGTTCGACAAGCTATTGATGGTGCAGTGTTTGAGGCAGAAAGGACATGTGGTTGCAGTCACAGGAGATGGCACAAATGATGCTCCTGCACTGAAAGAAGCTGATATAGGACTTTCCATGGGAATCCAAGGTACTGAGGTGGCAAAAGAAAGCTCAGACATCATCATCTTGGACGACAACTTCAATTCTGTGGCCACAGTTTTGAGGTGGGGGCGATGTGTTTATAACAATATACAGAAGTTCATCCAGTTTCAACTAACTGTTAACGTCGCAGCCCTAGTAATTAACTTTATCGCAGCAGTTTCATCTGGTGATGTTCCCCTAACAGCTGTTCAATTGCTGTGGGTGAATCTCATCATGGACACACTAGGCGCTCTCGCCCTTGCTACCGAGCGGCCGACAGATGAGCTAATGCAGAAGAAGCCTGTAGGTCGAAGTGCACCGCTCATAACCAATATTATGTGGAGAAACCTTCTATGCCAAGCTCTATATCAAATAGCCATCCTCTTAACCTTGCAGTTCAGTGGCGATTCCATCTTCAATGTCACTGATGCGGTGAATGATACTATGATTTTCAACACGTTCGTACTCTGTCAAATTTTCAACGAGTTCAACTCAAGGAGCATGGAGAAGCAGAATGTATTCAAAGGTATTCACAGGAACAAACTGTTTATGGGCATTGTGGGGACAACCATCGTTCTTCAATTTGTGATGGTGGAGTTCCTGAAAAAGTTTGCAGATACAGAGAGGTTGACTTTGTTGCAATGGGTAACTTGTATCGGAATTGCAGCTGTATCATGGCCAATTGGTTGGATTGTGAAGTTGATGCCAGTTCCAGATGAACCATTCTTCAAAACTATCAAGAAGTTACTCAGATTCAAAAGGAATGTGTAAGCATCTCGGGTTTAGACTGTAAGTTTTTTTTTTTTAAACCAAAGATAGAGATATATTAAATACAAATGGAAATGTTTACATCCTGCACAAGAACATTAAACAGAAATTCAGGGCCAACATGGTCCCAGACAAAGTCCTTGCCTTCCTTAAAGACAAACTTAGCCACAGAGTGAGCGGCACGATTTCGCTCCCTAGGCACAAAGCCAAACGTCAGAGACGTTAGTCTCCGGGCTAGTACCTCAATATCGCCAAGAATGCATTCAAAGCTACAGTTAGGGGCAGTCCCCTTATTGATCATCAGAATGACAGTTTTTGCATCTGCTTCCACAAAGACATTCTCAAATCCGTATTCAGTACAGTATTGCAAACCTGTACGGATAGCATGTGCCTCTGCAGCAGCCGCGCAGTGGAAAGTGCTGGTGCCCGAGCCTCCCGCCGCATGGAGAATGCCAGCGAAATCTCTGATAACCCATCCCGCTCCGGCTCTGAAGGACGCACTGCACCAGGATGCGTCGGTATTGAGCTTGAAAGTTCCAAACTGCGGCTTTTCCCATAGAACAGGCATCATCGGAGGAGATTTTAGGGGCCGTACTGCACCCTCATCCAAAGAACCATGATTCATAGCTTCCCTGTACTCACCGATGTTCTTCCTCCAAACAGTTAGGATTTCATTTGGTTGGCAGTGTGACCCTTTGAACACCACATCATTTCTGTTTTTCCATATCCGCCAAAGCCCAAACGCAAATTCTTGCATGATAGCCTCTGCGTCCTCTCTATCTTTAATACTAGTGCAGAAGATATTCCAGCTATCTAAAAAATCAGCACCGATCAATTCAATGGAGTTGAGATGTAGTGGGGAACAAAACCAGAGGCGGTGGCTGAGGTCACATTTAAAAAATAGGTGATTTTCAGATTCGTCAACCAAGTTGCATACCCCGCAGACATTGTCGATCCGCATATGTTGTCTTTTTAGATTGTGACGAACAGCAAGGGCATTATTACAGCATCTCCATATGAAGAACTTGATTTTGTTGGGAACTTGAAGGTTCCAAATACCTTTCCAAACCTGATTGGTGTTATGGTGCATGCTAGGGACTCATCGCCATTTTTTTCCCAAAGCTCCGTTCTCCAGTAAACTAACAGCAACCCCGTAACCGGTTTTAACCGAGTAGCTTCCATCGACGGTGTGGTGCCACACAAGTCTATCACAGCAGCCAAATTTACTTAAGGGGATGCTAAGTATGTGTTTTGTATCCTCCGAACTGAAGCCTTGCAGGATGACTTCACTCTTCCATGACCTGGAGTTGGGCTCAATCAAATCATTAACCATAGTTTCTTGCAGGCAGTCTCTCGGCTTTACCAAAAAGGTGGTGGGTTTCGGGAACCACGGGTCGTCCCGGATGTTAATCTTAGTGCCATCTCCCACCCGCCACCTGATTCCATGTTGAAGCACCCTTCGAGCTTCGAAGATACCTTTCCATCCCCACGATGTGTTTTTACCCTTTCCTGCCTCCCTAAAGGTTTTCTCCGGGAAGTATTTTTCTCTTAGCACAGAGGCTAAGAAAGACGACGGGTTCTGGACAATTCTCCAACCGATCTTAGCCAGGAAAGCAAGATTGAAACATTGTATGTCTTTAAAGCCAAGTCCGCCCAACTTTTTGTGCCTCATTAATCGATCCCATGAGATCCAGTGAACTCCCTTCTTTTGGTCATTTCCTCTCCACCAATAATTCCGTATAGCCCTCTCCACATCCCTGCAAACCCCGATGGGGAGCTTAAAACAACTCATGGCGTAGTTGGGCAGTGCCATGGCTACCGCCTTAACGAGGACCTCTTTGCCGGCATGGGACAGGAATTGCTCAGACCATCCCGCTAGTCTAGCCTCAATCTTATCCCGGACCTCAGCAAACACTACTTTTTTGGACATGCCAAAATCAGATTGTAGCCCTAGGTATTTCCCAAAGCCCATCCTACAGTGGATGCCCAAAGTTTCCCCAATTTTCTTCTTATTTCTTTTCGATGTTGTGGATCCAAATAAAAGAGAGCTCTTGTCCAGATTTATGTTCTGCCCCGAGCCATTTGCATAAACATTCAGAACATCCACCATCCCTTGAGCCTCCTCCACAGTGGCGTGCCCAAAAAGCACAGAGTCATCCGCAAAGAAGAGGTGGGATAGGGGGTTACCACTTGGTGTCAGCTTGATACCGTGTAGGGATCCGCGTTCCATGCTTCTTCTGATTAGCGAAGAGAATCCTTCGGTACATAAGAGAAACAGAAAAGGGGATAATGGGTCACCTTGTCGAAGCCCCCTCTCAAGATGGATATGGCCCGTCGGAGAACCATTAATGAGAATACTGAAGGAGACAGAAGAGATGCATTCCTTTATATGATCGCAGAACATAGGCGTAAAACCCAATTTGACCATCATGGAAAGAAGGAAGTTCCATTCCACCCGGTCGTACGCTTTGGCCATGTCCAACTTTATGGCCATTCCTTCTTGGTTCCCTTTCTTTTGGTGAAGCAGAGAGTGAAAAATTTCATGCACCACTAGGATGTTGTCTTGTATTTGTTTCCCAGCAATGAAAGCGGATTGATATTCTCCAATTATTTTCGGCATCACAGACTTTAGCCTGTTAGTCAATATCTTGGCAATGATCTTATAAATAACGTTGCATAGCGCAATAGGCCTGAATTGCGCCATACTCTTTGGACATTTCACCTTTGGGATGAGAACCAAATTGGTGTGGTTTAGCTTCCTCAACAGTTTCCCCGAGTGCCAGAAGGCATTGACAACCAAAGTCACATCCTTACCCACAATCTCCCAATGATCCTTATAGAAACATCCGGTGAAGCCGTCGGGCCCCGGGACTCTCGTAGGTGGAATTTGGAAGGCTGCCTCCATAATTTCACTGTCTGTGATCGGAGCCGTCAGAAGCCGGTTGTCATCATTACTAACTCTATTCTCCATGCACTCCGTTATCTCTCCAATATGACTCGGCCTAGAGGATTGAAACAAGCCAGTAAAGTAGGAAGAAGCAATATCACAGATTTCCTTTTCATCCTCGTGCCAAACTCCGTGATGGTCCTCTAGCCCTTTGATCTTATTGTGCTTTCTTCTTCTCACAGTTTGTGCATGAAAGAATTTAGTGTTCTTTTCACCCTTTTTTAACCATTGAATTCTGGATTTCAATTTCCAGTAGGCTTCTTCTTCCTTGTAAGCAGCTCGTAATTCTTTCTCCTTTATCTTTATTTGGTCGGAAGCAAACTGATTGGACTCATAAGCCCTCCGGATCTCCACCTTCAGTTGGTCAATAACCTTCTTAGAGTTTCTACCCTTGCCTCTATACCACTCCTTTAAGCTCCTTCTTAGTGTTTTCATTTTTTCACATAAACGAAAGGCATGGGAGCCTCCCGAAATACATTTCCAGTCTCTGGACACACGGTCGCGACAGTCTTCCATTTTGCTCCACCGTGAGTCAAAGGCGAATTTCCGTCATCTCCACACCCTCATTTTTTCAGTGAAGAGGATCAGCATTACGTGATCAGATCCGTCGAGGGTGACGTGCTTGATTGTGGTGTCAGGGTAGAGATCGGACCAACCTGGGGTAGCAAGCCCGCGATCCAACCTCTGTTGGATGGGAAGTGAGTCACGATTGTTCCTCCAAGTGAATGGGTAGCCTTCAAAACCCAAGTCCAGAAGCTCGTTCCTCGCCACGAAATCTCTGAAATCCCTCAAACTGGAGATAGACCTTATGTTGCCGCCTTCCTTCTCATCGTTGCACAAGATGTCGTTGAAATCACCAATGAGGAGGCAATGGTTATCATCATAATTGATCCTCTTGCTGAGATTCTTCCATTGCTCCATTCGTCTCCGTTCATCCGTACTGGCGTAAATGGCAAAAAGTCTCCAGTGGTGGTTGATGGTTGCATCCCAAACCTTGACTTCAATCATGAACTCCTCTGATTTTACAAGCATGATTTGTGACTCATCTTTCCAGAGGACACAGAGTCCGCCACCGATGCCTTTTGGCTCCACAGCGAACATAAAATTCATATCTAACCTTCTTTTTAGAAACTCATAGCGACTGCTTTTGTTTTTCGTTTCAAGCAGGATCACTATGTCGGGGGTATGACGCCGGTTCTGTTCCAACAAATTGTCAACTGTCAGGTCACCCCCGATACCCTGGCAGTTCCAAACGATTAGCTTCATGGATTCTTAGGAGACCCATCTAGGCTGGTCTCATCCACCTCTGGAATAAGGTTTTTCCTTGGCCGGTTCTTCCTTGGTTCCCATTGTGGGTTGGACGTGAAACTGTCTCCCTCGTGACGCCCTCGTTTCTTCCCACTCTGTTCTTTCATCACAGCTTCGATGATGGGAGCTAATTCGAATGGGTCATCGTTCACCTCCTTGTTGTTATCCGAGTTATTTCCTTGGTCCCCCTCCCTGATATTGACTTCCTCTCTTGTAAGAGTGCCTCTGTCTAAGTCCTCTACCTGGTTCGGAAAGGAGTTAAGGTCGATACCTTGACTGTGCCCAGGAGGCGTCTCCAGAGTCTTGTTCGTGATGTCCTCCTCTTGGAGTTCGAACAGCACCACATGTTCCGCTCCAGTAGCAAGAACTCCTCCAGGTCCAATTAATCCGGCGTCGAAAGCAGCTTCCCTTGCCATTCGCGCACCTTCCTCTTCCTCCCGTTTAGTTTGAAGTCTATCATTTGCCTTGGATTCTCCAGTACGTTGTTTGTTAGTGGACCATTTAGGCTTGTTGGGCGATATAGCCGTGTCAGTCACCTCTTCCACCATCGTAGAGAGACAGATGTTCCCACTCGGGGTTTTAGAGCCACTAAAAGGTGTTTGGCCTCCCATGCCGGATCCAGCTGATGATCTTCCAGATCTCCACCCACCATATGCCTCTTCACTCCGTTCCTGTTTGTAACTTTCTGAGCTTCGTCGCCCACCATTTGAGCCAAAAGAAGTTCTACTGCGTGAGGCATTCCCTAATAAATTTCCCCGTAGGTCTGTAGTAGCGTCCAACCCACGAAATGCCCATTCTTCGTCATTCTCCTCACTGATCATACAATCAGACTCTTCGCCTTTCTTTGAGGGTTTACAAGTGCTGGTGGTATGTCCAAGTAATCCACAGTTTAGACAGTACTTCGGTAGAGCTTCGTATTTGAAGTCAACCCAAACTTTCCCTTCGTCTGGAAAGTTAACAAAAGTTCCCCGCATGAGGGGTTCCCGGACATTGAATCTAACCTTCACTCGAAGGAATCTACCAATGCAATCCCGACTCCCTGATTTATCGACCTTACGCACGGTCCCAATCAATCCCCCGATAGTTTCTGCGACCGCTTTCCTCATGTTCAGAACAGGAACATTGTGGATTTGGGTCCAGAATGTGCCCAGGTTGAGTGGCGTCCATTTATTTAGCCCAGGCTCTGATCTGTCAGCTACCATGACCAAATCCTGTTTAAAGACCCAGGGTTGCTCAACATCCAAGACTCTCTGTATATCACGTTGGCTGGCAAATCTGGCAAGGAATCTGCGATCCCCAATGTCTCTGATGGAGACTCCATCCCTGCCTCGCCACAAGGACATGAAACAGTCAATAAACACTTCGCCCTTCACCTCCTTGCAGGTCAGCACTTCAGCAATCATGGTGTATTGGAACCCCAGTAAAGCCCTTTTTACATCATTTCTTTCAATGTTGACACCCCCAAGCTCCTTCTCAGACAGCCGCAACTTGGACCCAAAACGATTCCCCAATTCATCCATCTCACCTGTCTTACTCATAGGAATACCCCGCCGGAACCCCTTAACGTGGGCCCTTCTTACTACACCAGTAGATTCTACTGATATCAAGATTTCAGACACGCAGCCCCAATTCCGAAAATCACCGACCCAAATCCGCACGAAGCGGAATCTAGGCAGATCCAGCACAATATCCCATTGCCCAGTTGATGCACACCAAAAGCATTTTACCAGCTGACAGCGACACAAAGAAAGAGCAATTACCCGGAGGTGTGGTAACAGTAGCGAAGGGCCAGGGATCTGGCGCACAGAGATTGTCAGTCAGACCCAGCACCCAATCCAACTTGACTCCATCAGGCCTCAGATTTGCTTACAGGAGAGTAAACTCGAAGATCCCACAAGTCCACGCGGGTTTCGACGGAGTCGGTGGGGATATGGAAGATCTGCGGCAGCTCAGGACCAGCCAAAAAAACCCTAACAAAAACCCTCCTTGTGAGGGACAAATCGCCGCGCGTGAGGCGCGTACAGTCAATGTGGGAATGTTTCCCAATTAGACTGTAAGTTTTGGGTTTGGCTCGAGAATTAAGGTCCAGGTTCCAGAGCTCGGGGACTAGGCCAAGAAGTCTGGTACCTGAGCTCAGAGCTTTAGGTGTGAACTAAGGGCTCAAGCCCAAACTAGAGCCCCAAGCTTTAGGTTTGGGACTCAGCACTCGGGGTTTATGTCCTAGATCCCTAGCTTGGATTTTGGGTCCTGAGTGGCGGGTCCAGGTTTGAGTTTTTGAGGCTTGGAGTTAATGCCCGGGGCTTGGAGTCCTAGGCCCGAGTGAATTTGTAAATTTGGAACGCTCATTTCCAAATTATACAAGTGAACCAAAACAATGGAATGGTCATTCCCGAAGCATGCATGTACCCTAATGATCCAAACATTACCTAAGATGTGGATTATTATGGTGTAACATAATTAGTTCCAAGATGAGATTCCATGTATTGAACTTGTAAGTGTGATTTTTGAAGGAGATCTACAAGAATGCATAGGTCGATGTTGAAGTATAACCTTAAAGACTCTCGGTTCCAAGGGTTAGCTATCAAGGCCATCATTATATCCTAAACTTGTAAAACAGCCATCTTCCCTTGATTTAAGGAAATTGACTTATTAGTGGCTTAACCTAGTGTTTGGTGTAATTTCTTGATTTAAGGATTAGACTAGGCCTATATTTACCTAATCACTAGGGTTCCCTTTGGTTTACCCGATCACTAGCGTTTCCTTTGGTAGCTTGCAGCCAACTCTCATTCTTCTCTCTTCTCTCTTATATATTTGGTCTCTTGTACATTGATACTCATGAAATACATTACAATTTGAACCAGAAAATCAACATGGCATCAAAGCAGGTTCTTTGGTAACCTATCTCTGCTCACTCTTACTGCTGCGACTTTTATTCAAATCCTAAACCATGGCTGAAGAAAGTTCAATGAACCGTGAAGATGAAACCCAGCATAGTATCTCCTCAAATTTCTCAGATATTGAGGTTAACACCAATCAACATATGTGTTCAATTCTATTGAACGAGTTCAATTACCTTCCTTGGTCTCGAGCTGTTTTGCTAGCTCTTGGAGGCAAAGGAAAGTTAGGGTTTGTAAATGGAAGCATGGAAGCTCCAGATAATTATTCTTCCACATACGATGCATGGTTGTGCAAAGACCAACTTGTCATGTCCTTACTGCTCAACATCATGGAGAAATATGTTGCTGAGATTTTTAGCTACTCCAATTCCTCACATGATATCTGGAAAGCCTTAAAGGATATGTATGGAAATCAAAACAACTATTCACGTGTTTTCCAACTGAAGAAGGACATTGCTAGTGTTCAACAAGAAGGGAAAACATTTGTTCAACATCTTGGAAGCCTCAAAACCATGTGGAATGAGATGGATGTCTATCTCCCACACACCACAGACCTTACCATCCTCCTAAAACGAGCTAAGGAAGATAGAATTTACTAGCTGCTAGGGAGTTTGAGCTCTGAGTACGAGGATTTAAGGAGTCACATCTTGATGAGTCAAGAACTGCCCACCATCAACAATGTATGGGCCATTATTCAATGAGAAGAAGTGAGGAAGAAGGTGATGAATGTTCAACACAGCTTGAGATTGACTAAGACTCATGCATACGGTTCAAGTTACAAGAACTCAGAGGTCAAAGTGTACAAGGGTAGAAATACACACCTAAAATGCAAATATTGCAATGGTGTTGGGCATGTGGAAGAAAATGTTGGGAACTTCATCCTGAACTCAAGCCTAAGTTTAGCAAAGATGGAAAAATGATACCAAGGTCCTCTCAGCAACCCCACTACAAGGCACAACTTGCTAATGCTCATCCTCCTACCACTCCACAAGGATCTATGGAGTTCACTGCAAATCCATTGTCACTTATTAATGAATTTGTAGCTTTCCTACAAAGTAAGGGACACAGATGAGCCTCACATGGTCAAGGAAATGAAGAGGGCAATCACACAGCTATGTTAGGACAGTTTGCCAGCTTCCTCACTGGAAATGAGATAGTACCACAGGATGAAGCACTAGGTATACCTAAAGCTTTCACTACTGCCTTATTAACTAGTGTTGAAAAATTTGTTGGATAATTTATTCAGGCGCCATTGATCACATGACAAACAAAGTCACAAACTTGCATAACTTTAAACCTTTTTCAAGTCCTTCACATGTGCCTGTTGCAAATGGAAATAATGTCTTAGTTTTAGGTAAAGGAGAAATCAACTTGCTCGCTCTCACATAGAAAGCCTTCTACTGCCTTATATGTACTAACCTTTCCTTTTCAACTTTTGTCAATTGGAAAGATCATAAACACCCTAAATTGTCATGCCATTTTCTTACCAAATAATGTGATGTTTTAGGATGTTCTCACCATGAAGATGATTGGTGAAGAGGTCTTTGTTTATACCATATTTAAGGCCTCGTATTTAGACCTCGTATAAATACCCGAGGGACTTAAATGTAATTATGTAATAAAGGAGGGGCAAATATGTAATAAGTGAGGAGTCCTTATTCTATAAAATGACCCCTCACCCTCACAATTAGAGGAGGCTAATTCCTAGGCCTGAGATCCCCTCTCTCACCCTCAGAAGCTCTCACCTTCTCCCTCTCTATCCTCTCAGAGAAATACAATACAATCAGTGTGGACGTAGCCCAAACCTTGGGGTGAACCACGACACATCTTGTGTTATTTACATTTCATGCAGATTCACGGTCGGATTTACGTTGTACCAAGACCTCCGGTTTTATGCATCAACATTTGGCGCCGTCTGTGGGAAACGATACGAAAAGTTATGTCGGTTCTCTTTCATTTTTTCACCTCCGCCGTGAATCTGCAAAATCACAAAAAAACCTTCGCAAGACTCCCTCTTTACTGAAAATCTCTCCAAATAAACACTCCATTAAGTCTGCCATCACTCTAGACAAAAAGCCAGAGCAATTACTTATCCAATAGGTTATTGAAGAAGATGAACTCTCAAAGCGTCAAACACATATCAGAGTGTTTTATCATTCCACACCATGTCTCAGAGGAATCACAGCAGCCATTATACTTGGCACCCACTGACCTCGTCATGCTCTCTGTCCACTATATCCAGAAATGCCTCCTTGTTTATTTTGGACAAGCTCAAGCATTATCTTTCCCTCTCTCTTGTTCACTTTGGCATCAATTCCACCGATGTCATCCTCGAGATCGGTCCCGGTACTGGTAATCTCACCAAGAAGCTTCTAGAAGCTAGTAAGAGGACGAAGTCGTTTCGCTTTCCGTCACCTCTGCGCCCCCAGAAAAAAGTACAGGGTTGAAGAATATTACAAGAAACAAGAAAGGCTTCTTGAAGGGTTCAATGAGATGGAGACCATGACTGAAGAGGGTTGGTTGTCCACAAGTCTTAACAGAGCAGAATCCGCAACAATGAGCGACGGCGACAAGACTAGGACGATGACTCCAAGTCGGACCGACAGCTTTCCGATTCGGTGGACCCACTCCGTCTCAAGCTCCGGCTCCGTCTTCTTCTTGCTCGGGATTCTTTCACCTGCGTCTCCGGCACCGAGTTTTCGACTTCTTCAGGACCGCCTGCAGATCTATCCCCACCATCATGGAAGTTTACAACGTCGACGACGACAACAACACCTGCCCTGTTTTGCGCCTCCCCTCACGCAACTCCACCTCCTCCTCGCCACCCTCTTCACCCTTCCAACCACCACTGCCCAAGGACCAAATCTGCCACCTAATCCACCGCTTGGACGCCTATACCGAACCATCTTCCTTCTTCGATTCCCTTTCCAAGATTACCTAGTTCGCAAGATAGTGAATGTTAGATTGGTCCATTTAGGAGCAACGAAGCTGATGTCCAAGTTGCTAGAAACTGTGTCATCGACGAAAGAAGGGCGGGGAAAGATATGCGAGGACGGCAAGTACGTGTCGAGGATCGTGCAGAGATTGCTGAAGGTGTCGAGTGCACGTGAGGGAGGTGAGCATGCAGGTGGAGGCCAGATAGGAGAATCATTTGAACGGAAGGAAGAATCATGGGGGAATACATGGGGGACAACGCAAGAGAAAAAGAAAAAGAAAAAGAAAAAGAAAAAGGGAAGAAATGAGTAGAAATGAGCGGCAACAGAATAATAAAAGCAGAAAGCATGGCCACCCACTACTCGATCAGCCTCGGAGAAAATTGCAGAAAGCTGAGAAAAATGAAAGCAAAAGCAAAAGATTATTCCCTTGTCTGTCATCTGCCAAAAGAAAGAAAAATAAAAGCAAAATGGAGGCACATGGGACACTATAAAAGCAGGGAATAAACATCACACCAAAATGATGTAATTTATTTTATCTTTCGGAGACATCTGTATAAACCTCATTAGAGGGAGTAATTAAAAAAAAAAACTGCAAGCCCAAAATAATGGGCTGCAATGTCATATGGAGGGCGAAGGCCCATATGCCCAAAAGAGCCAGCCCATCTATTATCACCAACCAGGTGATCAAAAGTACGCTCGGAACTCCAACATTATTCGGCAACCTGCCACTAGTACCACCAACCAGGTGATCAAAAGTATGCCCATTACTCCAAAATTATTCGGCAACCTGCCGCTATTACCACCAACCAGGTGATGAGATGTACAACCCGTACTCTAATATCATTTGGCAACTAGCCATTCATGCCACCAACCAGGTGATGAAATGTACAACCCGTACTCTAATATCATTTGGCAACTAGCCATTCATGACACAACCAGGTGATGAAATGTAACCCGTACTCTCCTTCATGCCACCAACCAGGTGATCAAAAGTACGCCCAGTACTCCAAATTATACATGAGCATTACTCATGTCATTCATACATAAACATTCATGAGCATCACTCATGACAACATCTATGAGCATCACTCATGTCAATCAACATAAATATTCATGAGCATCACTCATGTCAATCAGCTTCAAAAGCTTCATTTACAGAGCTCTAGCTTCAAAAGCTTAATTTACAAAAGCTCTAGCTTCGAAAGCTTCATTTACAGAGCTCTAGCTTCAAAGCCTCAGTGCAGGGTATACAAATACCACCTCCGAACAACCGCCACTTCGGCCCATACATGGATTCAATTTGAAGTCTCCAGCCAACAGACTCTATTGACCGAAGACTTAGGGGACTACACTATACACCATATATTGGGCCTCAACTGGGCCTCATGAAAAATACTTGGGGGACTTAGCCCATTATTTATGTATTGAGGAGCGAGCCCTTATTATATAAAAGGGACTCCCTCACTTTCATTAGAGAGCACCCATTATTCATATACTGAGGAGCGAGCCCTTATTTTATAAAACGAACTCCCTCACCTTCATTAGAGAGCAACGCCGCCAGCTGAGCAACCGCCTCGCCGCCAGCATCACTCTTAACCCATCACTTATGTATTGATAAGCGAGCCCTTATTCTATAAAAGAAACTCCATCACCACCATTAAAGAGCATCGCCGCCTACTGAGCAACCATATCGCCACGAGCATCAACTCTAGCCCATCATTTATGTATTGAGGCGCGAGCCCTTATTCTATAAAAGGGACTCCCTCACATTCGACGCCACAAGCCGAGCAGCCTCGCAACATGTGCTACTTATAGTTGAGCATCATTTCACTTTGAGCACCACCTCATATCAAGTATCAGCTCAAGATGACATCTAGTTACTTCGGCCCACACATGGACTGAATTTCAAGTCTCCAGCCAAAAGACTCTCTTGACTGAAGACTTGGGGGACTACTGTTTATATCATATATAGGGCATCGTATTTAGACCTCGTATAAATACTCGAGGAACTTAAATGTAATTATGTAATAAAGGAAGGGGCAAATATGTAATAAGTGAAGAGTCATTATTCTATAAAATGATGAGGCCAATTCCTAAGCCTGAGATCCCCTCTCTCACCCTCAGAAACTCTCACCCTCTCCCTCTCTATCCTCTCAGAGAAATACAATACAATCAGTGTGGACGTAGCCCAAACCTTGGGGTGAACCACGATACATCTTGTGTTATTTACATTTCATGCAGATTCACGGTCGGATTTACGTTGTACCAAGACCTCCGGTTTTATGCATTAACAGTCTTCATAAATGGACTTTACTACTTGTGCAAGAATCCATTTTTACTCAAGCTCAATCATAGTCCATTGATAAAAACCAACTTTGGCATAAGAGATTAGCTCACCCCTCTGAGGTCGTCTTGTCAAAACTGTTCCCAAACTTTTGTAAATCATAGCTTACATATGATACTTGTCATTTTTCAAAATTTGCTAGACTGCCTTTTGGCAATTCAGTGTCTAGGACAAGTAAACCTTTTGAAATGGTGCACATTAATGTATGGGGACCAAAAAATGAAATGGAAGGATTTAAGTACTTTGTCTTATTTGTTGATGACTTCTCTCGAGTGAGTTTTTTTATATCTTGTGAAATCAAATAGTGAAGTTCCAACCATTTTCAAGAATTTTCATATGCATGTTAAAACACAATTTCAATCAAATATTTTTAAGATCAGATAACGACACTGAATTTCTATCCAACAACATTCTTCAATACATAAGTTCTCAAGGTATCGTCCATCAAACCAGCTGTGTAAGGACCTCCCAACAAAATGGAGTAGCCGAAAGGAAAAATAGAGATCTCTTGGAGACGACTCATGCTCTCATGATACACATGAATGTCCCTAAAAAAATTTGGTCGTTTACTATCTCCACTGCCACTTACCTCATCAACATACTTCCAAGTCGTGTGCTAGGGTTTAAATCTCCCTATGAAGTACTCAAGGGTAGGCAAATTGATTTGACACACCTCAAGGTATTTGGTTGTGTTTGCTTTGTTCACATCCAAACTTTGAATCGTGACAAACTAGATGTCAGGGCAACCAAGTGTGTGTTTTTGGGTTACTCTTCTGCCCAAAAGAGATACAAATGCTTCAATCTAGTCACTAAGAAGTGTCTAGTATCAAGAGATATGAAGTTCAAAGAAGATTGTCCTTATTTCACTCATACAAGTCAAGGGGAGAAACTAGTTGATATGTTTCCACTTCTTTAAAACTTCAATCATCAAGTGTTGAAGAGAGACTAGCCATTATGATTCCAGAGCGCAAAAGAGTACAACTGACGTAATCACTTCCAGGGATCAAACTTGCAGTGAGAAAGACATGGAGTCTCACTTAGATCTTTCCCAATCTTCTACAGAGCCTCAAAGGGTTAAGAGAAATCCTCATTGAACCAGAAAACCTCTAGCTAGGTTTCAGGACTACGTAACGTATTCCTCACGGCATCCTATCACTGAAAGTATCAGTCTTCGTGGGCTCTCTACAACTCATGCTGCTTTTCTCTGTGAAATTGATAAGCATTGTGAGCCAAGAAATTTTCAAGAAGCATCTTTACTTACACAATGGAACCAAGCCATGACAAAAGAGCTTCGTGCACTGGAAAAGAATCACACT